GTTAATATCTCCTAAATGGTGCATGTTTGGGAGATATTCCTTGTACCCACTTTCTGACTTGTACCTAAGCTTTATTATAAGCTTGCCTGTAGGTACAAGTCACCAAGCGGTGTTTACTACGTCTTTAAGAGCCTTGTTGGGTATTTTGCAAGCACACCTATATAAGTAGAAGACAATATTATGCATTAGGCTCCTTTCACATCACTGTAGGCATCCTACTGTGTGTAATATAGTCCATTCTTTTCAATGTTTGTCAATCTCAACAACCTAACCACATTCTTTTCAATGGGCTGCCCTCCCCACAGAAATGTGGGAAAAAAGTCTCCAACACGTTTTTTTTTAAATCGTGCTGCATTGAATTGCATGGTGTTGCGGTACCATGCAGTTTAACATGTGCAAAAATGTGCCGCAGTTTCCAAATACGTTGGGGTGCATTAAAAAATGAATGGCACTCCCATGCGCCTTCTAAAATGCAGTGCATTTCTCTGTGGGAAGTATGACCGCAGTCTGACGTCTGTAAGCTTTACCATAGGTTTTCACCTTTTAGATACAAAAGAGTAAAGAGCTTATTAGAGCATGGCTTTCTATTCTGTTCATTTTTATTAAAGGTTTTTGGCAAACCAGAATGAATTAAAAACAAAAGCAAATCAGTTTTTTTATACTTTTGGGCCAAATGTAAGTTTCATGTAATAATTCCTAAGTTGTTTCAATAAAATAATAGGTAAAAATGAATGGCTCTAAAATGTAAAGGGTAAAATAAAAATGAAACAGAAATACTTAGGCAGAAATGAACAAGGCTGCCTAGACCTCCCTATCAGGAGTGTGTGGTATGTATTCACTCTTTCTCAATGTTTGTTTATCCAACAAGATGCTTAAGTGTTTCTCATTTATCATAATAATCCAAGATAATTTATGGAGGGCCAGTGAAACAAGACTATTCCAGCAGCAGAAATTGTATACATTAGAGAAATTTACAGTGGATATAAAAAGTCTACACACCCCTGTTAAAATGTCAAGTTTCTGTGATGTAAAAAAATGAGACAAAGATAAATCATTTCAGAACGTTTTCCACCTTTAATGTAACCTATAAACTGTACAACTCAGTTGAACAACAAACTGAAATCTTTTAAGTGGAGGGAAGTAAAAATAAAAAACTAAAATAATGTGGTTGCATAAGTGTGCACACCCTTAAACTAATACTTTGTTGAAGCACCTTTTGATTTTATTACAGCACTCAGTCTTTTTGGGTATGAGTCTATCAGCATGGCACATCTTGACTTGCCAATATTTGCCCACTCTTCCTTGTAAAAACACTCCAAATCTGTCAGATTGTGAGGGCATCTCCTGTGCACAGCCCTCTTTAGATCACCCCACAGATTTTCAATCAGATTCAGGTCTGGGCTCTGGCTGGGCCATTCCAAAACTTTAATTTTCTTCTGGTGAAGCCATTCCTTTGTTGATTTGGATGTATGCTTTGGGGTTGTTGTCAAGCTGAAAGAAGAGGTTCCACTTCATGTTCAGCTTTCTAGCAGAAGCCTGAAGGTTTTGTGCCAATATTGATTGGTATATGGAACTGTTCATAATTCCCTTTACCTTGACTAAGGCCCCAGTTCCAGCTGAAGAAAACCATCCCCAAAGCATGATGCTGCCACCACCATGCTTCACTGTGGGTATGGTGTTCTTTTGGTGATGTGCAATGTTGTTTTTGTGCCAGACATATCTTTTGGAATTATGGCCAAAAAGTTCAACCTTGGTTTCATCAGACCATAACACATTTTCCCACATGCTTTTGGGAGACTTCAGATGTGTTTTTGATAAATTTATTCGGGCTTGGATGTTTTTCTTCGTAAGAAAAGGCTTCCGCCTTGCCCCTCTACCCCATAGCCCAGACATATGAAGAATACAGGAGATTGTTGTGACATGTACCACACAGCCAGTACTTGCCAGATATTTCTTCAGCTCCTTTAATGTTGCTGTAGGCTTCTTGGCAGCCCCTCAGACCAGTTTCCTTCTCGTCTTTTCATCAATTTCGGAGGAACATCCATTTCTTGGTAATGTCACTGTTGTGCCATATTTTCTCCACTTAATGATGACTGTCTTCACTGTGTTCCAATGCCTTGGAAATTCTTTTGTACCTTCTCCTTACTCATACTTTTTAACAATGAGATCCCTCTGGTGCTTTGGAAGCTCTGTGTGGATCATGGCTTTTGTTGTAAAATGCGACTAAGAAAATGTCAGGAAAGAACTACTAGAACAGCTGAACTTTATTTGGGGATAATCAGAGGTACTTTAAATGATGGCAGTTGTGTACTGACTCCTATTTAACATGATTTGGAATGTGATCGCTTAATTCTGAACAAAGCTGCATCCCCAGTTATAAGAGGGTGTGCACACTTTTGCAACCACATTATTTTAGTTTTTTATGTTTACTCCTCCTTCCCTCTCCCTAAAAAAATTCAGTTTGTTTTTCAATTGAGTTGTACAGTTTATAGGTCACATTAAAGGTGAAAAAAGTTCTGAAATTATTTATCTTTGTCTCATTTTGTTTACATCACAGAAATCTGACATTTTAACAGGAGTGTGTAGACGTTTTATATCCTCTGTACTAAAATAATTTAAAAAGTTTACAATATATATACAGTTGTTTGTGAATTTAGACCATTGGTCTCCAAACTGTGTCTCTGGGCTGGATGTGACCCTTTGCTTGCCTTGAAGCCTTGAATATGCTAGTCATCACTTCCACTAAGAAGTAGAAAATTCAGGGACCTCTTGATACCAAGCCAAGTGCAGGTAGACCAAGAAAGATTGCAGCCACAACAGCCAGAAGAATTGTTTGGGATTCAAAACCCATAGGTAACCACAAGAAAAATACAGCCTGCTCTGAAAAAAGACAGTGTGGTTGTTTTGAAGGAGCACAATATGATGACACTTGAACAAAAATGAGCTGCATGGTCGAGGTGCCAGAAAGAAGTCTTTACTGCATCAATGACACAAAAAGGCCCGGTTAGGCATGTCAAGGTGTTGTGAGGCATATTGTAACTGGGGCTTTTTTGTGTCATTGATGCAGTAAAAGCTTCTTTCTGGCACCTCGACCAAACAGCTCATTTTTGTTCAAGTATCACCTTATTGCACTCCTTAAAAACAACTACGCTGTCTTTTTCCAGAGCAGCCAGTATTTCTTTTGAGGTGGCCTGAGGGTTTTTCTTTGAATCCCGGACAATTCAACTGTCAGTTATGGCTGCAATCTTTCTTGGTCTACCTGACCTTGGGTTGGTATCAAGAGATCCTCAAACTTTCCACTTCTTAATAGGTAATTTAACAGTACTGATTTGCATATTCAAGGCTTTGGACATCTTTTTATGTCCTTTGCCATCTTTATAAAGTTCCATTACCTTGTTACGCAGGACTTTTGACAGTTCTTTTCTGATCCCCATGGCTCAGTATCTAGCCTAGTCAGTGCTTCCACGTAAGAGCTAACAAACTCACTGACTTTTTATACACAGACACTAATTGCAATTTAAAAAGCCACAGATGTGGGACATGAACCTCTAATTGGCATTTTAACCCGTGTGTGTCACCTTGTGTGTCTGTACCAAGGCCAAACATTTCAGGGTATATAAACTTTTGATCAGGGCCATTTGGGTGCTTTCTGTTATCAATATGATTTAAAAAGGAGCCAAACAACTATTTGATAATAAATGGCTTCATATGATCATCATCCTTCAATAAAAGAGCATTTTGTGGCATGATCAGTCATATTTTCAATATCAGTGTCAAAATTTCACAATTTCTGCCAGGGTATGTAAACTTTTGAGCACAACTATAGTTGGAGAAAACTTGATTAGTCTTGTAAACCACAGAAAATAATTTCTAGGTTAAATCTTTACAATTTAGGACTGTGAGATAAATAAGTAAGGGTAGATTTAGATGTGCGTCTTGCTCTGGGACACAAGAAGAGGACGAGCCAAGATCGCCAGAAGATGAGGCCCGGGGCAGCTCTGTGTAATACCTTTGAGTATAACATGTTTGTTATTTTATTAAAAAAAAGTTTTACTTTAGTTACACTTTTAAGTGGTATTAAAGCTATATTAAATTCAAAACCAAACATTTATGATACTGTAGATTGCCAATTTTTAGATGTGACGGCTGCATTAGTTTTCATTTTTAGGATTTCTTTCTTCTATTTTCATATGCTGCTCAGGTCAATGAGTCTGTTGTTTTTCAAAAGAACAAGCTCTCCTCCAGATGTATCAGTTACAGGGATGAGACAAGCCATTTAACAGCAGCTGGTGTGCTTACAATGATTCACTTTTATTTATTTGTGTAAAACATTTATCCCAAAAGGAAAAACAGTTTGCTGTAACTGATTATAAAGTGTTAGCTGGAGTTTACCTTCAATTTGTTAGTGAATTTAAATCTGCTAGTACATCTAACACTACCCTCCCCCCCCCCCCCCCAAACTGACAATGCTGTTGTCCAAAGGTGCCCCTTGTGCTCTCTCATACAGAGTGAGGGCACTCTAATACAGGAGGTGTATTATTGGTCAGATCACCGGGGAACTCAGAAGGGGGAAAAAGCCTAAAAAGAAGAAAACTAATGCAGCCATCCCATCTAATGATTGGTAAGCTGCAATATTTTGATTTTGGGTTTAATACTGGCTTTAAACCCAAAAGCAAACATTCATTATATCGCTTACCATTTCTTACATGTGACGGCTTCATTGTTTTTTTAGGCTTTTTTTTCTATTTTCATCTGGTAATCTGGCCAGTAAGTCTGTTTTTCAAAAGAACAAGCACGCCAACAATTATTTCAGTTACAGAAATGAGACAAACCATTTAAAACTGGCAGGAGAGCTTACAATTATCAGCTTTTATGTAAAACCTTTATCTGAAAATGAAAAAAAAAACTTCTGTTAATGCTTTTACAGTATTAGCTGAAGTTTGGCTTTCAATTGCTAGTATATTTAAATGTGCTAGTACATCTAACACCCCCTTTCCCAGACTGACAATGCTGCTGTCCAAATGTGCCCCCCAGGGGCGGACTGACAACTCATGGGGCCCCGGGCAATAGGGGATCATGGGGCCCCTGTGTCCTTGCCCAAACTCAAAAAAGCCTATGAAAAAGGTACCAGGGGCATCTCATGGGGCCCCCTTCTGACCCCGGGCTCTTGGGCAGTTCCCGAGTTTTCAAATGGTCAGTCCGCCCCTGGTGCCCCCTGTGCTCATTCATCCAGAGTGAGGACACTGTAATACAGGAAGTGTGTTACTGGCCAGATAACCTGGTGAAAACAGAGAGAAAAAAAGATAACTAATGCTGCCACCATATCTAATGATAGGTAAACTGTGATTTTTGACATTTTTGTCTTTGGGTTTAATACCTCTTTAAAGCCTCATGTGTCTTTTGGCCCAGTATGCTACTTAGCATACTCTGTTATCTGGAACCCAAACGCACCCTTCCTCATATTGTCAACTTTATTGGCCTCCTGGAATTCTAATGAACTAAGTGTGCCTTGAGAGAAATGACGAGTATTGCTTACTCTAAGAGCGGCTGAGAGGCAAAACAGCAAGTAAAAAGGTAAGCAGCAAATTTGAATTTTCATTGAAACATAGGAGTGCTGAAGCTGACACTGAAACTGTGACCCCATTGCACATTTTGCCTTACTATCTGTCTGATGAAACTGTTGTCACCAGGACAGGAAGTAAAGGCAAATCTCTCTAATGGAGTCCTGGAGAATGAAAAGAAAAACAACATCTGGCATTCTCATCCTTCCCCACTCCATCCAGAACATGGAAAATCTTTGTGGTTTGGCACATACTTAAATTTTTCCATATATTACAGAATTCACTCTGTTGGAGCCATGCTGAGTAACCACCTGCAGTGCTTCAACCCACAGCGGTGTTGAATTAGCCAAACTCCATGCAACATCTATCCAGAAATCTTTAGGGGTAGGGGATTTGAACTTTGTACAGGCAATTCCAGCAAAGTTTAAGTTGGTTAATTCATATGACCATTCTCTTTCTAATGAGATATTGTTATGTCCAGATCCTCCTAAATCCACAAAAAAGCTAATAGCAACTATACCGCTATGTATTCGCTGTTCAAAGAAATGACATCCTTCCGGGGTTTCATGTACATTTTAATATCTTGCTAAGAACAAAGGAGATTTTCTAGGTCTTTGAAATTAAATACCAGCATAATGTACTGAACTTTGTAAGCAAAAACACTTGAAAGTGAAGCTGAATAAAAACACATGTCCTATAATACTGCATTCCTAAGGCCATAGCTACATACTGTATGTGTCTGCCCTGTGATCAATCACTGCTGTAGCAATGGTTCTGTTAGACCCACTCTGGTAGCACAAACACATTGCTGATTATACTGAACTGCTCCTAACAATCCAAGGGGCTCATAGTAATAAAAAAGAAATGATCAGTAATTGCAATCTGTCCTTGTGGTTATCTCTGAACACCCTGATACTCCTGCCACCTTCTGGTGAATCTGGAATCACAATCTCTCTACTTTGATACAATGACCTTCTAAAGTAATCAAAGCAAAATTCATGGAGATCAGTCAGTGGAATTTTATTCTAGCAGAGGTCCGAATCTCATGTTTGTGCTATGATTCAGAAAGGATATATGTATTCATTGTATGTCTGTCAGTAAACAGACCTCCATCACAGTGCCCCCTCACATCAGATGTCCCCATCACAATGCCCTCTTACATCAAGGGTCCTCTTCACAGTGTCCTCGTACATCAGGGGTCCACATCAGTGTTCCCTTACTTTAGGTGTCCCCATCAGAGTTTCCCTTTACATCAAGGGTCCCCATCACAGTGCCCCCTTAAATCAGGGGTCCCCATCACCGTGCCCCTTACATCAAGGGTTGCCAATTACAGTGCCCCTTACATCAGAGGGCCCCTTCACAGTGTCCCCTTACATCAGGAGTCCACATCACAGTGGTCCTTTACGTCAGGGGTCCACATCACTGTTTTCCCCTTCATCAGGGAGCCCCTTCACAGTGTCTCCTTACATCAGGGGTCCACATCACAGTGCTCCTTTACATCAGGGGTCCCCATCACAGTGCCCCCTAACATCAGGGGTCACCATCACAGTGCCCTATTACATCATGGGTCACCACCACAGTGCCCCCTTTCATCAGGGGTTGTCATTACAGTGCCTCCTTAAAACAGGGGTTCTGATCACAGTGTCCTCTTACATCAGGGGTCCCCATCAGAGTGCCCTCTTACATCAACGTTTCTCATCACAGTGCTCCTTTACATCAGGGTTATCATCACAGTGCTTTCTTACATCAGGGTCCTCATCACAGTGCTCCCTTACATTAGGAGTCTCTGTCATAGTGCTCCCTTACTTTAGGGGTCCCCATCAGTGTGCCCCCTTAAATCAGGGGTCCCCATCACTGTGCCCCCTTACATCAAGGGTTGCCAATTACAGTGTGCCTACCTTAAAACAGGGGGTTTCCCCCTTCTCAGGGAGCCCCTTCACAGTGCCCTACATACATCACAGGGGTCCCCAGGGTCCCCATCACAGTGCACCCTTACATCAGGGGTGCCCCTTACATCAGAGTGCCAATTACAGTGCCCCTTACATCAACGTTTACATCAGGAGTCACACAGTGTCTCCCTTTTTCCCCCTTCATCAGGGAGCCCCTTCACAGTGTATCTTACACAGGGGTCCACTTTGCTCCTTTACATCAGGGGTCCCATCACAGTGCTAACCCTTACATCAGGAGTTGCCATTACATCCTTAAAAACAGGGGTTCTGCAGTCCTTACATTATCATAGTACCCCTTAGGGGTCCCCATCAGTGTGCCCTCTTACCCCTTACATTAGAGTGTCCTCTCCCCTTGCATCACAGTGCTCCCTTACTTTAGTCCCCATCTGCCCCCCATCACAGTGCCCCCTTGCATCACCACACAGGGTGTCCACATCATAGTGCCCTTTACATCAGGCATCCCCATCAGAGTGCCCCCTTACATCAGGGATCCCCATCACAATGACACTTTATACCAGATGATTTCATTTACTGTGCCCCCTTACAACAGGTATCCCCATCATAGTAGCCCTTTACATCAGGTGTCCCATTCACAGTTGACCCTTTACATCAGATGATTCCCATCATACTGTGCCCCTTTACATCAGGTGTCCCTATCACAGTAGCCCTTTACATCAGGTGTCCCCAGTTCCCCATCAGATGCCCCTTTACATCAGGTGTCCCCATCACAGTTCCCCTTTACATCAGATGTCCCCATCATAGTGCCCCTTTAACATCAGGTGTCCCCATCACAGTTCCCCTTTACATCAGATGTCCCCATCATAGTGCCCCTTAACATCAAGTGTCCCCATCACAGTTCCCTTTTTTATATCAGGTGTCCCCATCACAGTTCCCCTTTACATCAGATGTCCCCATCATAGTGCCCCTTAACATCAGGTGTCCCCATCACAGTGCCCCTTTACATCAGGTGTCCCCATCAGGGTCCCTTTCAGTGCCAGGTAGGCACAGGGTGGGAGCCAGGAGGCAAAACAGACTTAATGTTTGAAATGTGAAAATTTCACTATTGTCCTCCTGTGATGCTGGGGACAGGGAACTCATGTGATGTCATTGGTTAAAATGCCGGCTGTCTTAGCAACCAAGGACGGCATATCCATCATGGTCTGCCATTTAGCGATGGCTGTTCTAAAGCTTTTTATTATCACAGCAAAAGCAAGATGGACACAGAAAATGTTATTTTGTATGGTTTAATATAAATTAGTAGACTTTTGCATAACAAACTATGGAATGTTAGTGGTTAAATTTCTGGAGCTTTGCAATGTTGAGCATGTCCATACTAAATGGTTATGACACGTAGAATTCTGTGGACCCAAAAGTAATTTTCTGGTCAGCTAAGTTGCCCCCTATATCTCCCGGAAATGCCTCTTCCACCATAGATTCTGGTCTGTTACCACCCGCCTTGGGGGGTTTCTGCGTCTCTTGTTTGAAATGCTTACTGTTTACCTCTAAAGTGGTTAAATATTCCTTGAGCAGGCACCCAGGCTTTCAGTAATGGTTGCAACAAATCTCTCTGTTTCTACATTCACAGGCCACCTACATAGGCCATAGCTATGTCCTACCCCTTGTCATGCCACTCCTAATCTAGCCATACACTATTAGAATTTTGGCCCATTCAAAGGAATCGGTGGAATTTCACACACCCAGTTTACACTGTGTACATTGCTGTTGGAGAATTCTTTTCAATTCTTGCCTCCTTAAAGGTTGTCCCATAGCAAGAAGTGTGGGGAAATCTCTCTAACAGAGCCCCGGATAACAGTAAAACCTTCTAATCTGTCTGGCTGTGGCTGGAGAAGAATCCAGTGGATAACAATCCATTTGCTTCAGTGGCATGCTAGGAAGAAATCAGAGGTCTACTAGACTTCCAATGTCTCATTAAAGAGAACCCATTATAATAAACACACTATCACATGGGGGGCTCTTGGTTCCTCGGTAATAGCAAAAAAAGTTAAAGTGGTTCTAAAGAAAAAGATTTTCACCTTAATGCATTCCTTGCATTACAGCAAAAAATGTTCTAGTATCTGAATCGCCCTCTACCTCACTCAATCCAGTGCTGTGTACGTATGCAGCCTGTGTATGTGCCTGTTCCCATCCTCCTCTCTCCCCTCTCTCACAGAACAGAGAGGCAGCAGCTGCTTGCTATGGGGGCACTCTTGTGGGCTTGCTCCCAAGCCTCACTGTCTGGGTCCATAGACACAGACAGTGGGACTTGGCCCTGCCCCCTCTGCCTCGTCACTGGCTTTGATTGATAGCAGCGGGAACCAATGGCTCCTGGTGCTTCAGCAAAGCCTGCAAGACCAGGAAGTGAGGGGAGAGAAGAGCTGAAGACCTGCATAGTGCTGGATAGAATGAGCACTCAGGTAAGTAAAAGGGAGGGGGAGGGGTGAGTGTGAAGGGGATACTGATGTTAAAACTTATTTTTACCCCAATGCAAGGAATGCATTAAGGTAAAAAATGGTTAGGCTTTTTAACAACGTGAAAAGCTTTTTTAATATTTCACTTTAAACAAGGGGATTGAAAGCAGCCAAATCAAATGAATAGTACCCTCTAGTGGTTATTCTCTAAATCTCTAGCAGCGTATATATAGATCAGTGTTTCTCAACGTTTTTTAGTCAAGGCACCTTTTAAAAGTCTGCACAATATCAA